TGGGGGCGCTTCACTGGAAAGCAAGGCCACGATCATCCGCACGAGCATATTCCCAGTCACTGTGGATGGGTGTGAAAGATGGAGAGTGAAGAAAGCTGAGCGGAAGGAGACTCATGCATCTGAAACCTGGTGCTGGAGGACCGACAGATAGACAAACAAGAGGGCTCCAGATCAGATCAAGCCAGGCCTTGCCCGGAAAGCAAAAACAGCAAAACGGAGGCTGTTGCGCTTTGGGCACCGCCTGAGAAGCCAAAACTCCCTGGAGCAGTCAGGCGTGCTCGGGAAATTCAAAAGCAGAGGAAGAACAGGAAGATCAGACTGGAGATGGATGGCGTCCATCAGCAAAGCCGCAGACCTGAATTTGGAAGAGCTGAGCAGGGCTGCCATGGCAGGGCATTTTGGAGGGGCGTCATGCCTAGGGTTGCCATAAGTCAGAGACGGTTTGTCAGCATTACAGCAACAACATCAGCAAGAATAAAAGCAACAGCAGCAAAGCTGGAAGAGTTGGCACCCAAGCAAGAAAGCTACCACCAATTTCCTGCTAGTGGGAACACCGGAACGTTACAAAACGGTTTTCTCAGCCAATTCGCAGAATCACAGCAGCTCGCAAAATCGGCCACTAGCTATAAGTGAAGGCAAAGCACCAAAACTAAGCCCAAGGGATCATAAACCAGATGGTCATTTCCTTGGGCTGTGGCGTGCTCCTGTACCGGACGGTGCCTGTCCGGGGAAAAGCTTGTAGATCACAGAAGGACAGGGTGGGAAATTCAAAAGGTGCCTTCTGGGAGCCCAAAACACTTCACCATTTCCTCGCTGGGAAAGTGGGAGAGAATTCCGCCGAGCACCACCATGGGCCTTGTGTGCCAAACAGGGCTGAGCTGGGAGCAGGAGGGGCTGGGTTCAGTGGCCAAAACTGGGGAGTCTGGTGTCTCCTGTGCCAGTGGGACAGCTCCTGGCCCTTGGCAGCTCTTGCTCCAGGCCTTTCTGGAGGGAGCGGCCCATGATGCTCCGTGGCGGGGAACCTAGTTTGGGGACGGGTCCAGCGCTATGCACAGCACCCCCCACTGCTGCCTCCGGCACTCGGCATTCCCTGCACGGGCTTTCTGCAAAAGCCCGGAAGCCGCCGGGATCCAGTGCTGGGAACGGGGGCAGAGAGTGGCCTCCGGCCAGGCCGGGCAGCTTGCCCAGCGCGGTCCGCTCTGAGCAGCGGGGCAACAGCTCTCCGGCTCTGCCCATCACCGGCAGGGAGCCCCGCTTCTTTCTGGGGCTCGGCCTGGGACATTCTAGAAGAGGCACGGAGCTTCAGGCCGAGGGCCCCAGCCCAGCTCTCCTGGGGCCACAGCCTCCCTGCCTGGGCCCGCAGGTCAGAGTCTGCCCTCCCTTGGGCCAAGAGAGGCTGCCAGCGTGGCTCTACCCCCCCCCCCTTGGCTCGCCCCCCACGGGAGTGCGGCTGCCAGTGCTGGCTCCAGGGCACTTCGACAAGGTGCTGCCAGTGGGCCCCTCCCTCGGCATGCCGGCCTTCTCCCCACCACGGCCACCAGCGGCTCGTGCGCCCCCTCCTTCTCCTGGCTTGCCTGCCCGCCTGCCAGGCCCAGAGTCTGGAAGCACGGGTGCGGCGGGAGGCATCTCCTGCTTCTTCCGCTCACTGCCCGCTGCAGGGCAGCGATTGGGTTGCCCGGGGAAGGGGGCAAGCAGCCCGGTGCGGGCCTGCATTGGGCGCCTGGCCGCGGCCTCTGCTGCAGCCAGCCCTGCCAGCCTCTCCTCCAGGGTGGCTTCTGTCCTCAGGCTGAAAGCTGCGCAACACAGACGAAGAAGGTGAAACGGAAGAGACTCGGAAAACCGCTGAACTGCAGCCCTTCCCAGGTGCAACAAGGCTGTTCACACCAGCAAAGTGACCTCTCACCCACCGTCTTATTGAATGGGAGCGGTCAGTGTTCCAGCAGGACCAGCCATCACGCCCCAGCGCGCTCTGGGCTGCAGCCGAGGCGGCCAGGGCCAGTGTCGGCCGCGGGCAAGCCAGGCCTCCGTTGCCAAAGCCTTCCCTGTTTGCAGGGGTGTGCATGAAGCCTGTGGCCAGCCACGCCCGGGAACCCGGCTGCCCGCTGCGGCTGGGGAATTCGTCACTGCTTAACGTGTGAGATGCTGCCTGGAAGCCCCTCTGGTTGATCTCAGATACTTTGGGAGTGTTTGTGCTTTGGCCAAGTTAAGGGGAAGCACTTTGTACATGCCCCAAAAGGGCCTTGGCAGCCACTTGGCCCTGCAAGTAGCAGCAGCCGCTAGTTCTTCTGTAAGTTCCTGCACATTTCTGCTCCATCCAAGACGATTCTGCCCAACCGGAGGCGATGCTCTAATTCTTTCACAGGGCCTGCCGTTGCTTTCCCTTTCCTCAATATTTGAATTTTTAAAGTCTCACGTTCCTTTCCTCCCAGATATGAAGAACTTCGTGAATTTTCACAAAACTTTTATCTAAACTGAAATAAAAGGAAATGGGCACACCCTAATTCAAAGTGCACAGCTATTCCCGACATGGAAAGAGCGCTTGCCTGCCACACAGGCCGAAGCATCTGTCAGAAAATGGAGGGGGCTGCCCTAATTCAGCACGCACAGGATTCACCGGGACCCCAGAGATCAAAGCGCTCACAGCCTGGACTGGAAAAGATCAAAGTATTTGCCTGGGTTTCTGCCAGTTTGGATTTCTTTCTGGATAAGTAAGTTGTATCAAACTGGCTTTGAAAATTGTTAAGTCCCAAGCTCTTTTCCCCTGAAGATGGAAAACTTGGTTAAAATTGATAATCTCTTTAGTGAAACAATATTCTTGGCCATTGTGTCTCTGAAGGGTGTGAGAGAGCCAGCCTAGTCTGACTTCTGAGCCCCAACAATCTTTCTTAAAAAAGAGGCCGGGCACCTGTGACCCATCAGATGGTGCTAGATTACAGCTTAGGCCAGCCTTAGCCCCTGGCCACATTGCTGGGGCTGGTATAAGCTGAAGTCCAGCAACCTCTGGAGGACCACCGTGCCCCCATCCAGCCTGAGACAAATTCAAAGAGAACGGATTTTGCACACCTCCATGGACAGCCCCCCCCCCCCCCCCCCCGAATACGAGCACAGCATGCACGGATGCTGGGCTGGCTGCTCTGGGAAGCAGAGTGCGGCCTGATCCCACGGGCCTCTTCTTAACTCAGACACCGCTGAAATGTGCAGCCCCTTCCTCTACAGGCGGCAGTGTGTCTGTGCAGCAGCGGCACAAAAATGAAGAGACCACGAGGGACCATCGCTCGGCGCTGGATCTCCCACTTGGCGTGTGGAAGGGCCCCGTCGGACCGCCAGCACGGACCCACGGGGCTGAGGAGGAATCCCACCTGCAAGCGGCACCTGCTGCCCTGGCCCAGCCGGACTCCCGGTCTGCCGCAGCCTTCGGCAGTTTCTGCTGCCCTCTCCCTCACGGGGAAACCCTGCCTCGTGCACGCCTCCACTGGGTGACCCCTTTTCCCCACGCAAGGAAGGCGTAAACATGTCATCTAAGAGGTGCCGGGGCCATCCCCGTGCGAAGTTCTGCCCTTAGAAGCGTTCTAAACATGACTAGACGGGTCGCTACCCAGACAGAAACGCCTTTCCTGCCTGAGCTTTGCCACGGGCGGGCGAGGCATTTGCCGCTGCCGCTCGACTCGGACGCCGAAGCGACGTTCGCATCTCTCTTGCGCAAGGTACTGGACGCGCAACGACTTTGACCGCAACGAACTTTTATCAGAGCCACCCTCACCGTGCACGACAAAGCGGCCCCCCGCAGCCTGAGGCCCCCGGATGTCTTGCACGGCGACGTCCGTAGGAGCAGCGCACCGCTCCGCTGCGCACCAGTTGCTGGGGAACATGGCAGGAAGGGGCGGCTGCACGCACACATCCTGCCGGTGCCTCTTCCGGGGGCTGCTGTGTGAGCAGGATGATGGGAGTGAGGATGCTTTGCTGCTGTTCTCAACACGCAGCAGTCCCAGCCAGCGAGGCCGGTGGGGGCATTCTGGGCACTGTAGGCCAGCGCATCTGGAGGGGTGAATGCCACACCCCTCCAGATGCGTGGCCCAAGATTGGGGCGAAAGGTTCTGGGGCCTGCGTCTGGACCTGCTTGCCGGCGCTCGAGAGCCGTGGAGGACCTTGCCTTTCCCGCGGTGCCTCTGTGGCAGAAGGGGCTCTCTTTCCTTTAAAACAATGCCCTCCCCATGGGCAAAGTCCTCCGTCCAGTTCCGTTTGTGTCCACGTTGCTACCCTTTGCCCCTGGGTGGCCCAGGCCACCAGTCAGGCCCAGCCCTAAAGGCTAGCGAAAGGCAGTGGAAAACGTCCCACGGGCCACCGCGATGGCTCCAGATTGTGCGCTATTGCGCTGAAATGCTTGGATCCCTCGTGACAAAGCTCAGACGCAGCAGCATTGAGTGAAGTGGCTCTGGAGTAGTTTCTGGATAAGGAGAACATCTTGTTGGCTCAGAGGGTGCACGGCCAACAGAGATTTGGGCAGGATGGCCCTGGCTGAGCGTAGCCGTGACTCCACAGCCCTACTGGGGGGCCCTGCTTCTGTTTCGGCACACTTGTGGGGCCGCAGTGCCCCTCGCCTTCCTGGCACTCGGTCAGGGGTGCCAGAAAGCCATGTGGGGAACTCTCTTGCTCCCAGTGCAGCACCCACGGCTGAGATGGGGAGTGGTCCGCCAGAGCCCAGCCCCACAGGGAGCACAGGATGGTGGTGGTGACAGGTGAACCCCGACAGAAACAGTCCACTGATAGGTGTCAGCACAGCAAGCGGCGCCGCCGGGCTCTCCCTGGGGCCGGGGCTGCTGCCGCCACGCGCCAGGAGTGCCTGCCCCAAAAGAGGCATCGCTGCGCCTGGCCTCCACCCTGTGGGGTCCCGCATCCTCCAGGCCCCACAGGAGAGACCACAAGCGTCCACCATGTCGTGAGAGCCCGGAGAGGTGGCGCGGTGGGGACGCACAGGCCCGGGCGCGTGCCCTGCCCCTTACCTGTGTCTCAGAAAGGTTGAGCTGCCTGGCTAGTTCTGTCCGCTCCCTGCCCACGACGTACTGGCAGCGCTGAAACTCCAGCTCCAACCGGTAGAGCTGTTCAGCAGTGAACGAAGTCCTGGTCCTCTTGGGCCGGTCCAGGTCCAAACCTTTGGGAAGGACGATCTCCCGGATGGTCCCTTTGGCGTCTAGAGGGAGCCACAAAGACAAAGAGTCATTCCGGGGCCCCGGAGGGCAGGAGAAGAGGCCCCGCATGTCCCCTGCCCTCCACTTCAGCAGCTGCAAGGCAAGAGCCCGAAGCCAGGGGGCTTCCGGGCGCCCACGGCTCTGCTGGGCCACACCTCCCAATGATGGTGGTGGCACTGGCCAGGGATGATAGGGACTGTGCTTTCAGACACCAGGGGCCCCCAGGTGTGAGAAGGCAGGCACAGAGGTGCATTTCACCCTGCAAGCCCCGCCCACAAAAGCGCCGCGGGCCCATCGCTCTGCACCACCTTTTCCGTGAGCTCAAGCAGGCCGAAGACTGGAATCGGGCCTCAGAAGGGAGCCCCACCCAGAGCTGGTCTATGGGAGACACGGAGGGGGGGGGGGGGGGGTGCAGCAAGCCGCCCACAGAGGGGGGAGCCGGCCGCCTCCTGCCAGGCCAAGGGACCCCTGGTGGCTGAAACGGCTCACTGCCATTCCGGCAGCCGAGTGCTCCAAAGGCAGCCGCTGGGGAAGGGCGGCGTTTATGCGCATGCATGGGCAGAAAAAGGCCTCACAACGCCCATCACTCCCCAGCCAGCATGCTGGGAACTGTGGCGCTCTCTGCCCCCGCCCAGGACTCAGCCCACAGTGACCGTGCGCGGGTTTCCTGGTGCCTTGTGTCTCCCCCGTGGAATTCTCCTCTGAAACCCCATCCACACAGACAGCAGCATCCACCCCGCTGTGCACAGGCGCCCTGGCCCTTCGTTCCACCACCTGCCGCATGGGGGCTGGACTAGATGACCTCCGCGTCCCCTCTCATGCTACGGGCCCACCCAGTGGGGCACTGCCAAGACAGCCATGACTCTGGCTCAGGCTGGCAACCCATCTGGCTCTGCAGGGACACCAAAGGAGGAAGCAAGCCCCTGTTGCTGAAATCCACCTTGAGGGAGCGGCCCTCCCCATGCCTGCCTGTCAACGCCTGCCGGGGCTTCCCGGGGGAGCTGCTGCCTGCACAGCAGAGGCGCCTCCACCGAGCGAGAGCCGGTCCCCAGAACAGCGTCGTGCACAGAGTGTGAAGCTCCTCCAAGGGAGGTCCAGCTCGGCCACCCTTCCTCAAGCGGTGGCCTCCAGATGCGCTGGACTATGGTGCCATCCTCCCAGCCCATGCTGGCTGTGGAGGATGGGAGTTCTAGTCCACCCTATCTGCAGGGGGCCGTGGCGGGATCCCCCCGAGGCTCACGGGGACAGCGACTGCTCAGTTCCCGCAGCAGGAGCACTGGGGTACCTGCCTGGCTGAGTGACGGCCTCCCCTTCCACAGAGGAGCACCAGGTCGCGTGGCTTCGACGGGGGACTGGGTGCATTCGCGGACCACCGGCCTGCCAATGGCTGCTGGTCCCGATGGCCCTCGGTGCCACCGCCCCCCACCTGTGCCAGAGGCAGCAGCATGCTGTGGGCGCCAGTTGCTGGGCACGTGGGCAGGAGGGTGCGCTTGCACCTCCCCTGCTTGGGATGGTTTGTGGCCACCACTGCGTCCCCAGAACACTGGACCAGGTGGATCCTGGGCTGGCCCAGCAGGCGTCCGTTGGGTCTGAGTGGGACCTGCCTCTGCCAGGGCAGCTCCCATCTCATCATGGGCTGTAGACCTGGACGCTGAGGTGACCGACCTTCTCGGACTGCGGAGAGGCAGCACGTGGGGTGGCCGTCGGGCTCAGCCCTGGGCCCAGGGCTCTTTGGCATTTTGGTTAATGATCTGGGTGAGGGAGTGTAGGGGAGATCATCAGATTTGTCAAATTTAAATTTGCAGACGACACAAAACTGGGTGGGATGGCTAATACTCTGGAAGACAGAGAGAAGATTCAGGGTGATCCCGATAGGCTGGAGCATTGGACTGAAAGCAGCGGAATGAAATTCAGCAGGGACAGATGTCAGGTCCCACACCTGGCAAAAAGAAACCAAATGCAGCATAACAAGATGGAAAATACTCAGCTCGACAAGTGAGAAAGAGCTTGGAATTGCTGCAGATCACAAACTGAATAAGAATCAAGAATGTGGTGCAGCCACCAAAAGGGCAAATGCTATTTTGGGCTGCTGGAGTACAGCTTCCAGTTCACTGGAGCTCCTGGTTCCCCTTTTATTCAGCATGGTTAAGTCTCATCAGAAGCACTGTGTCCAGTTCTGGGCACCAGAATTCAAGAAAGACGCAGACAGACGGGAAAAAGTTCATTGGAAGTCAACAAAGGTGACCAGGTGCCTGGAAACAAATCCATATGAGGAGAGATTGAAATAGCTGGGCATGTTTGAGAGGAGAAGACGGAGGGGAGCTCTGATACTGCTCTTCAGGCACCTGCAAGGCTGTCACAAAGAGGAAGGGCGCGATCTCTCCTCATCCATTCCAGAGTTCAGGACACGAAATAAGTTAAAAGAAACCAGGTGTTGACTAGACACCAGGAAGAATTCCCTGACTGTCAGAGCAGTATGAGAACAGAGCCGATTAGCTGGGGAAGCTGGGGGTTCTCCCACACTAGAGACATTCAGAAAGCATCTGGACAGCCATCTGAGTGGGATGGCATACATTGGTGTCCTGCAATCGATCGGACCAATGGCCTTCTGGCTCCTTCCAATTCTACTTTTGTCTGAATCTATGATTCTATGATCATGGGAAACCGAACGGTAGACAGATTCACCTGGGATTGGTCTTACCCTTTTCAAAAGCCACTTTAGCCAGTAACCATCACTGCGTTACAAAGACAAACACGGGAAAATACAGTGAGTTTAAATCTAGTGTAAACAGCAGGGCATTGCGGCAGCAATCCTAGCCATGCCTAGGATGGAAGGGTACTCTGCAACTCCCAGTGGTCTCCAGTAAGAAAGAAATCCTAGAGCCCCCACCATGCCCCACCCAGAAAAAAAGGCCTACAATTCCCAGCATTCCCTAGCAGTGCTGGAGAATCCTGGGAGTTGTAGGACTTTCTTCTGGGTGGGGCATGGTGAGAGCCTGTAGACCTTTTCCATCCCAATGTTCACACAAGTGCAGAATTTCACTGCGATCCTATATTCACTTAGTCCAGGATCAGAGTAAGGATCATGAAGTCCAGTGGCCTTTTGGGTGGACATGACAAGAGAGCTTCCATCCTAGTCATATCCAGGAGACCTCGATTTTTCAGTTCCTTCGGGTATGGCTTTAAACACCCCCTTCCGCATAGTATTAAGCAGTGATATCCCTTAAGGATTTCTACTCCCAACCCAGCAACCTCCAGATGGGTCGGGCAACAATGCACACAAACCCAGGGGACAAGCTGTAGGGAAGCCAGCATCCCACCCTTTCCCCACTGTGAGTGGGCAGGAGTGGAAACGCCGAGGGAGGAAAAGTGTAGACGACTCGGGGAACAGCTAAAACTGGAAGACTGTGGAATGTCCAACAGAGCTAGAAGTCTTGTCACATGGAGCTGGGACTGATACCCTCGGCACAAAAATTAATATGCAGAGTGAAATTGCCAAAGGCAGAGCCTAAATATCTAATGTTTCAATAAAATGTGGCACATTTTGATTTTATGCTCAAATCAAGGACATACACAACTGTATTTGTCAAAGCCTTTCCTCAGATTATGGAAAGAAATTAGATGCCCTTTGTTGTTATCCAGAGCCATAAAGAAAATCTCCAATCGGCCATCGCATTGCGCCTACATAGGTAAACAGGGAAAATGGAACACTGCCTTCTTCTCCCCCGCCTCACAAGCCTCTTCCTTCGCTATAAAGCCAGGGAGATCTTGGGAAAGCCTTTGGCAAAGCAGTCTCTGAACTGGGATCGAGGCTCTGGCTGCCGCAAGTGTGCTGAAAGTGCCCAGACCGTGACTCCAGTCTCCATGGGGCTGGATTTGCCGACCGGTAGGGAGGGCTCTTGGAGAGCTCTCCATGGTGCTGAAGCTCAGCTGGGGGGGTCGGCTCAGTTAGAGGACAATAAAGCCCAGCATCCACTTATGAGCTTCCCAGCAAGCAAGCTGCAAGCAACCCTGGTGGGGCCCACTGAATACGGCTGGATGGCCAGCAAGCAGACCCCACGGGGAAGCTTTTTATCCAACACGAGCTTTTCATTTCTGTGCGGCATCTCACCCAGGAAGGGTGTGGTGCGCTCTCTCCTGGGTGCCGTTCCAAGGCCTTGGGGCCATAGCTGAGAAGGCCCTGCTTTCTCTGGAGGACTGAATTGACACGGAGCCTTATGGGATGGGGAGTGGCTGTCGCTCAGTAGCACAGCAACCCGACCCCCCCTCTGAGCATCTGAAACTGCGGGGATTGCCTTCCTTGGGGCAGGAGTCACTCTTCTGCACAAGACGCCTTGATGCAAGGAGGGAAATGCAGAGCAACTCACACACGGTTGCGAGTTGAGCCCCATCTCCGGGGAATCTGGGCACTCAGGAGCCTTTCCCACTCACAGCACCAGCAGTTCCCCTTCTGTCACATCTGAAGGCCCAGCTCGAAAGCGCCATTCCAAGGTGCACAGACCCGAAGCGAAGAACTTCATGGCACCACCTTGAGCATGCCTTCTCAGTCCTTTCATGCTTGATGGACTAAGCGGACATAAAAATCCATCTTAAAGGTCGAAAAGCACCTTGACCTGAGTTGGGAAACTGGATGGGAGTCAGTATATTTTCCATTTTAGTTCTCACCTTTCCACCCACCTGAGGAGGGGAGGGACAGCCCCATGGGGCAGCTGAAGATTCAGAAACATTTGCAACGGTCTGATTAATTGAGCTATGAGGGGTGGTGGAGGAGCAAACAACGTGATGTGCCAAACCAATATTTAATAAGCTTTTTTAATCCACAAAATTCCAGAATAATTATAGAACTATCACTGCACCATGCGAAAGAAAAATAATTTTTAAAAAGCAAGCGAAACAAACCCCAAGCTAGCTGTTTTGGGCAAGGCAGAAAACAAAAGAAAGCAGAGCAAAGCATTTTTTGCAACCAACCAGAATTCCACAAGAATGTGCGAACTCCCGTGTT